TTCTATTTCCTCCTCTTACTACTCATTGAGCAAACCTGACCTTTACTTGTTATTAATATAAATATCAAGAAAAGCAAAACACTGGAAAAATAAGCAAAGAATTATAGTATAGGGTACTGAGAAGAGTCAAGATTAGTAAGGTGCTAGAAGCAGTCATAAAAAGAAGAAAGATGCAGAGATGCTATCACTGGCATGGTGGTAAGTAGTGTGGCCAGTTTTAACAAGTTTTTAACTTAGAACATTTAAGAAATTTATTCTTGAAATCAGAAAAATTTAAGGTAATTTTTAATTTTATTATATAAATACCAATCATATTACATGCTTGTTTTACTGCTCATGAACTATAAATTGAGGAGGTACTGGGATTACTGTTATGTCTATATTACAAGTAAAAAGGTAGCTTTTTGCCATGTACAAATATGAACTCACAACGGATAACTCAAAAACACTTAGATATAAGAGCAGAAACCATTAAGAACAGAGGAATGTAGAGGTAAAACACTCTATGATAGTGGTTTCTTGAATGTCTTTGGGAACTCATCTCCAATGACAAGGAAAACAAGAGCAAAGTGAACAACTTGACAACATAAACAAATTTGTTTCTGTACAGCAAAGGAAACTATCATTAGAATGAAAAAATACCCCACCTAATAGAAGAAAGTATTTGCACATCATACATCTGACAAGGCGTTAATATTCAAGATCTACAACGATTTTGTATAACTCGATAAAAAGAAAGAAAAAGAACAAATCAACAAATGAGCAGAAGAACTGACGAGGCACTTCTGCAAAGAAGAATATAGATGGCAGACAAGTGCAAGATGTTTAACATCAATTATCATCAGTGAAATCAAAATCATAATAAACCATTCTCAGAGAAGTGAGGTGGTATTTACACACACACACACATACACACACAGAAACAATAAATGTTGGTGCGGATAATAACCTGAAGAATATTTGTGTTCTAATATCCATGGTGGTATTATTTAAGATAGCCAAGTTATGGAAAGAACCTTCACACCCAATGACAGATGAGTACAGAAAGAAGATATGGTGTAGATATATATTTATACATATAATAGAATACTACTAAGCTATAAAAAAGGAAATGAAACCTTGCCATTTATGACAATACTCATAACACTGGTGAGTGATATGCTCGGTAAAAGAGAGAATACTAATGATTTCATTCATGTGGAAAACAGAGAAACAAGACAAAGCTAAACTAAAACAAACTCTAGAATTCTCAATACAGAATTGACACTACTAGAGAGGATGGAATTGGAAACAAAGGGGAAGGAGACCCAATGGCTTTGGTGGGTGTGGTGTAGAAACACAGACATGAAGATCTGTGACCCTATTTCCTTAAATCATAAACAGTATTTTAAACCAATGACACTTCAGTAAAAAGTGAAATTAAAAGGTAGTATTTCTGTGCCTTAGTGGAAAGCAGTAAGACAATGGGGTTCTTTTAGTAAAGCGGCATTTACCCTGATGCATTAGGAGTGTGCTGCTACCACAGCAGAGGCTACCTAGACTCAGTGAGATAGCTGTGTACAGTCAGACAGGTGCTGGAGGCATCTATTTAGCCACATTCTGGTAAGCTCTTTACTTGGTCTCTCTTTCCCTAATCTGCAGAGTTAGATGAACGTAATTTGAGCTGTTGCTTGACTTGTGTCCATGGACTTCTGGGAGGAGGCATATTCTCCTTTGCTAAAAAATATTGCTTGAGAAACATAGTCCTGGCCCTCTTTGGTGGTGCACCAGGCTAAAGCTCAGCACTGTAAGTGAGCCACAGTCACTTCAGTGTGAGTTCGATACCCAGCCTTGAAAGTGATCCACATGGCGTGGCAGACCTCTCCTATCTTGCCTGCTGCTCCCCTCAGCAGTGTATCTCATTAGTCTACCTGTTCTGCTCCCCACTCTGTCTCTGGTGAATCCTCACACCACCCCTGCACATCTGGCCTATACTCCAGTTCTGTATGCAAAATAAATAAATCTTAAAAAAAAAGAAAAACACAGTCCTTGGTGTTTTGAAATTAGAAGATATTTAGATGTCAATTAAGTGTCATCATTTATGAGGCACATTTGGGGACAGGTGTGAAGGAAATTGATGTCCATACAAATTGACGTGGTCAGCTTGTAGAGTTGGGACTTAGGGACACCATGCAAGTGTCCCTTACAGATAAGGTTACTACATCAGTTCTCACAGACCAGCCAGTGATTAGAATTACTTCATTTTACTACTATGAAGACATTGAACAGTATGAAGTTAACTGAGAAAATAAATAAGAGCTATTTCTGTGTTTGACCTGCCCAAAGCATTATCATAAAGATGCCTACATTGTTGATAAATGACTGTGCAGTTATTCTACATAGAGGTAAATCTTCAACAAATACAACATACAGAAAAGACTAAAAGAAAAAACTACTCAGAGTTTTTCATCATTGTTGCCACATTTTTGACTGAGGGGAAAATGGTAGAGGTTGTGATCATCTGTAGAAATAACTCAATAAAGAGTAGGAAAATGAGAACAAAGTCAATGACTCATTGTTGGTTCTTTATCAAATACATGTATTGTTTCCATAAAGCAAAATCAATTTTTTTTGCTTTGATTGAATTATTTAGTTGTTTTCTTTTTGTGTCTCCAGATTGGTTACATTAGTTTTTTTTGTTTAAAGAAAAAAATCTTGATTTCATTGTAAGCAACAATTAAAATAATATTCATGTAATATTAGATACACATTTAATGTACCCTAGGAGTTAGAATAAACTGACTTGTACCCATGTCAAAGTCAGTCCTTACTTAAGTGTTATACTCTCCAAAGGCCCACATCCTCTCAAAGAATAGCTCTCCTTTCATGCTAAGCAACAGTTAAAATAATTTTCTTTAGTTTAATTAGCAGTTGATTGAATGATTAAATATGCATTTTAAATAGCCAAAAAATAAAAGCTTGTTATTGTACTAGGGAAAAAACCCACCCATTAACATTAATTCAGATTTAACAAATGAGTTGATTACAGGGAAGGGAAAGAGAAACACAGTTCATTAAATACAACTGGATGCTAGGTCCCTCTTCCCCCGCAGACCTAATGTTCTCTCACAGCACCTTGGGGGAAAAAAATCAGTGACTGCGTTTTCTCGCAAGAATATTCTTTTCTGGTGAATGAATCATGCACTGAAACTACTGTCTTTATTTATTTATTTGTCTTCCTTTTCAAGGAGTTTATATTCACTTTGTTTGCAAGTTACGGAAGATAACGAAGGGTCATGTATGGGTACGTCAACCGAGCACCATGCTGCTCTTTAGTGACGGCCTAACCTTCTTGACTAGCTGATGTCTTAACTTTCTCTGACATGAGTAAAAATGTTTGCTGAAAACAACTCAGAAATCTTAAAATAAAGCAGGGGTCATGTATGGCCAAAGTGTGCTCCTGGAGGGACTGAGCCACATGGGGATGGTAGGGCCAGGGGTGGGAAAGAAAAGAGTCATGCGCTCTCCTTGGGGTGTCAGGTCTTTAATGGGGTGGGGGGGTCTATGCAGAGTAGAGGTCTATGTATTGGGAAGGCCAGGGAGAGGGGAGGTATCAGCATCCAAAAATTGAAAACAAAATCGATTTAACCAACAGCAATGGCTTGTGCCTGCTTTTTTCACTAGAAAATGCTATGAGATTTTGGACAGAACAATATGGACCAAAAGAGGTGGGAGCTTCATCCTTGCCTCCAAGGGTAGGATGAAGTCTCACGACCAGGAAAGGCCACCAGAGAGGTGCCAGGGCAGCCCTGCACTGCAGGAGGCAGAGTCCCATCCCTTTACCAGTTTTGCCAGCAGAGAGAACCTTGACAGAGTCCAAAAGGACTTTATATTAGTTCATGGGCCTTCCCCTCACAGACTGCCAGAACACTGGTAGAATTCTGAAGGAAGCCACATAACCCACTGTACTAGTTTACCATGATCTATGTAAAATCCTGGTTAGTACTTGCTAGAGAACATCCAAAAGTATCCCTTCTGTTCAGAGAAAAGACTTCCTGAGGTGTTGGGAATCGCACTAGCTGTGGGTTCAACACGTATGGGAAGACTTCCTCAACCCTACGTGCTATCAACCATGCTCCAAGTCAGGGCTTGTTCATTCATTTCTCACAACAGGCATGTTCCCAACCTACACTTTCATATGAGAAGATGGAAGCACAGAGAGGTTAAGCAACTTGCCCAGGCCACACAGCTTCTAACTGGAAAACCTGGTGCCTAAAACAGAGAAAACTTGACTCGAGCAAAGCGTCTTCTGACCACCAAGTAACACGAGTCACATGTAGCACAGAGCACATCTCACTAAATGTTTCCTGATTCCAAGTATTTTACCAGGACATTAAACATGCTTTGAGTTTATTATTCTGGCCTTACTAAACTTTGAAAACCTAAAATCCAGTAGAAAAAGTCTTACGAGTATCCTCTATGAAGCAAAACCAAACCTCAAATGATCAGAACAGAGTGAAATTGGTTCAATTTTCTGAATAAACAAGGAAAATGACTGCATGCTTTTAATGTGTTTTTATCTCAATTTTTCTAGGCGGCTTCACAACCCACATCATGACAAGTAAGTTAGTCTGTGCTATGCTCTGGAACTCCTTCCTGACAGTCCTTCCAGCCCTTTCCTCCTGCTAGTCTTGGGGCTGTGCTAACCCAAAAGGTTCCTTGGAGATCCATAACTTCAATGACAAGATCTCCAGTCTTGTGTTTCTTGCATTCTTCCTCTCATCTAGTTGCCAGGTGAAGAACAATTCTGACTGAACATACTATTTAATCATTCTCATCAATAATAATAAGAATTAACCAATTCACAAGGAGAAAAATAGACAAGACACAATGTACCATCATCCTGACTTCAACCCCAGAGTGTCACCACCACTTAGCTTGAGTCAAGCAAATACCCAGTGACAGTAAAGAGCTATTGAATAAGTCAAGTTGCCACCATCCTATTCCTGGGGTTCACTTACCTTGGTGTGGAGAATGACTGGCAATGGCAGTAAAATCAGCAGAGTGAAAATTACAAGGAGAAACCTGCGGTAAACCAAAATATAACTGAAGAGTTTCATTGTCCTAGGCAGATGCCTTCGACGTTTCTTCTTAAAATAAGGCAGATGTTAAATAACCAACCTGGATTAATATTTCTCCAGCTCATTATTTTCACTTGCTACCTGAGATTGACCAACATGAGTTAAAATTAAATCTCAATTTTTATTGTTTTACTGTCACAATTAACATGGAGAGATAAGATCCGAATGTTTGCAAGAAATCAAAGGCCACTTACTGGTGTGGCTTTTGAATGGTGAAACTATTTATTTCTACAAACTGGCATATAGACTGGAACACAGTCTATGAGAACGCAAAATTTGGTGTTGGTCGAGTATGCCCACCCAAGCCCCCCCCCCTTCCATTTGTTCAAGCTTCTGAAATCTGCAATTGACAAAGGGGCCTGGGACAAGTCCATACTGGAGAAACCAGTGCCCTTCTGAAGATGCATTATTTTCACTGTGTGAGTTGAAATAACCCCTCCAATGGCAGGAATTTCAATGTTGACAGAGTGAGAGGGAAAGTTTTGGTACAACTGCATTTTTCTGAGTTCCTTAGATAATATATTGAAGCAACTTAGATAATATATTGAAGCAGCTTCCAATACTTTTTATGTGAATTTTGGCTCCAAAAAGCCTTGCTGGCCTCTCCCATTCAGGAATTCACTGATCTTGTTCAAAAGATTAATAACTCTCTTTGATACTGAAAAGCATTTTTCTCTACAATTCCACACTCAATTGCCCAATCATTTCTTCATTGTTTGAAAGCAAAGTTCTGTGTCTAACTTAGACCTGGTTGCTTCTCTTTAATAGGAAACCAGAAATTACTATAAAGTCATATAAAGTCTCCCTGGAAAGATTCGTTCAGGGTTGAATGGATACTTTTGTGCTGATACAAGCTAATAATCAGGGAAGCTGCACAAAGATGAATCATTGAGGCCAACACACACACACGCACACACACACGCGCGCGCGCGCGCGTGCACGTGTGTGTACCCTCAGACAAAGTCATGGGAATATGCTGACTGTTTTAACATTGATACGGAGGATATGTTTTGAAATTACTCAGGACTAGAGACTCTGGTTTGTTTCTTATTATGTTGTAAATTAATCATCAAAATAAAAAAAAAACACACACAAAAAGCCCTCTAGTAAACAATTACTGTGCACCAAGCCATAAGTCTAAACATAACATATTTCCTTTTATAATTATAGTCAGTTTCGCTCGCAAAAAAAAAAACCTTACTTTTATATAATGTATGGTTAGCTGGTAGACCTTATTTGGAATTCCACACTAACGTAACTGCTTCTTTTACTATCAAGGAAGGTAACTCTTTTACCATTTTCAACCTATTGTTAATGTAAATGAGACAGCAACTTTCCCCTTTAAAAATTTAAATTTATAAAGATATATAATAAATAGTGATGCAGAAAAATAAATATAGTAAACAAAAGAAAAAATCTTCCAGTCAGAAAGGTGTATTACATCTTGAATGCCTCAGGTGGAAGAAAGAGAGGGTAATTATAAACAGTAATAGCAAATAGTAAATTAGAAATACTCATAAATAGGCATACTAGTGTTTCCCCTCCCAAAAAAAAACACTTTATAGAAGCTGAATTACTCAATGTAGTTTCAATACTTTTTTTCTCTGTAACACCACAGTTCATTACATACTTTTTCTTTTCATTTTCTGCTATTTTTTTTTAAGAAACCATTTCTTTTTTCAGATTTCTTTGGACCACCTGATGAGACCATCTGAGTCTCACTTTCTCCTCATAAGAGGATTTTACTTTGTGAGATGACACCCAATATGAAGAGACATTTGTGTGACATTTAATGGAAATGACCTATACATGCAGGGAACAGAGCCACTCAAAGCAGATACACTAAGGAAAACCCTTGACATTTGTTAATGCCTCCTGTCTGTCCTATTTCCCCTATTCTGGTATCCATTTCTCACCAGACAAAGGCTTGGGGAAACTTCTATTATGGCCTGAGATTCTAGCCAACTTGTTCTTCTGTGGGTGCCACTTATTACAAAATGACTCCACTTTTGCTCTGTGTTCAGCCAATCTGCTATTCAGTGGTTTTTTCCCTCCATTATCAGAGAGAAAAGATCTGATGATATAAAGATCTGATCATATCTCACAGGAGATATGATTAACTGATATGAGATTCATACCAAGGAACTCAATACATCACAATTATGCTGTTTTCACTATCTAATGTGGAATGAATCAAGCCATTGTATAATCATTGTATAATCATAATCTCACTTAAAATAGAAACATAAAATTTTTACTCCTGTTGTTCACTCATCCAGTTATTTAACTCTGTGCAAGGAAATTTATATTCCCATCTCATTTAATCTTCAAAACCTACTACAAGGATTTGGTATTGTATGAACTTTGATTATTTCTCGTTTACAGATCTGGAAACTGAAATAGAAAGAGACAGGTAAATCATCCCAGATAGTAAGTGGCATAACAATGTTCTGAATTCAGTACTTTTTGGCTCCTACGGCAAAATTTATTTTAATACTATGTCATGTGTCTACCATAATAACTGTTAATTTGACACTAGACACTGATATCCTCTAATGTGGAATTTGTAGAAAGGCATCTGGTTTATTTGGCTTAGGAATTATAGCTGTAGGACTTGTGTCATTTAATATTCAGTGACTTATGACTGGATATAATTTAGGCGACACACTGGTACAGGCATAAGGAGAAACAAAGAAACCTTCTTTATCTATTTTGGTTACCTACATAAAGAAATTATACTGTCCAAGATGTTGATATTTCATAAGGGCCTCTTACATATTTTTTTTCTGGCTGTCTCTTCTGCCATTTTTTACACCCTAATTTGTGCTTTTCTGCAGCCTTTCCCCCCTCCAAAAATGCCCTTCCCTCTCTCCCTTTTAATCTCGCATGCTTGCAGTTTGACTTTGCAGACCACTCCTTATTGCAAATTTATACTGACAATGCCAGTTCTTTTCTGACTTTCCATGACCCACCCAAGCAGGTTCTCTGGTCAAATGCATTCATATTGTCTCAGGTATGGGTTCTCTACCTGGCTGGATAAAAAAAAAAATTACTTCAGGATGTTCATGTTTACTTGACAACCTACAAGTTTTTGCCTCTAAAATTTGAGAATCACTGAGCTAGTATCCATAAGATATATTTTGGCCCATGATCAGATTGACTTAACTTAATTACTATTTTAATAATGTGTATAAATCTTAGGTCCTCAATAAGATTGTCTACTCTCTGAGTACAATGAACTTTTCCCTTAATTCCCTACCAAAATGCAAGGGTCAAATGAATACTTAACAAAAAGTTGCTAAATTTACCTATAAATGTAGATAAATCGATCCATGCGCCTCATTACTTACATGTATGGTTTACAAGAGGTATTCTTCAATTCAGTACTTATAAGATCATATAGTTTTTTCAGTGGGGGTTTTATTTGCTCCATGCAAATTTGCCCATAAATCATGTATACGTAGCATAAACTCTGACTGGAGGAAAAAACTCAAAGTGCTTTCCTAGTACTGGTGAACACAAACAGTCATGCATTTATATATGAAAAGAAAATTTTGTGTCTTTTCTTTCTTTTATGTGTTTCTCTTTTGATTTTTAGAATTTTCATTATTAAGTGCATGTAGTTTTAAGTCAATTGCTGTTTAGTCCATTGCAATTAAAAATATGGACTCAAAGAATGCAGGCCAGATTTTCTCCTGACAGTCATTTGCTTCTAAGCCTTGACTAATCCCTAATTCTGAAAGTGACTCATGAGTCATATAAATGAAGATGACTAAGACATTTATATGTCCTAGTCATCTTCATAAATTCCATTATTTTCAGACATTACACAATGAAAGGTATACTCTATGAGGACATATGTGAACTATGTCCCAGAGAAAATTTAGAATTGTTTAGAACTGTAGGAACCAAAATAATTTTTTCCCCTTTTATCATGCAATTGTCCCTTTTGTCTTGATTTACATACTCTGCTGCTCAGTCCCTTCTGGAGATCACTAATTTGTCTGATAGCCCAAAAATCTGTTTTTGTTTTAGTTAGTTCTTCTGTTTGATTACTTTCTATGTCACATCTAAATGAAAAAATATGGTGTGTGTCTTTCTGTCTGACATGTTTCCTTTACACCCCTCCATGCTGTTCTACCTGCTTTTTTTTTTTAAAGACTTATTTATTTATGCATACAGAACTGAGGTACAGGCCAGAGGTGCAGAGGCAGTGAGAAGATTCACCAGAGACAGAGTGGGGAGCAGAACAGGCTGACTGTAAAAGTACACTCTCAGGGGAGCAGCAGGCGGGTCAGGAGAGGTCTGCTGCACCATGTGAGTCACCTCAGGGGCGGGGATTGAACTCATACTGAAATGGCTTTAGCTTCTTAGTGCTGTGCTTCAATCCACTCCACCACCAGGGAGGGCCCTCGCCTGCTTTTTTTTTTACATAAATACTATTCTTGTATGTGTGTATCACATCCTCTTTACACAACTTAAGTTGATGGACACAAGTTTTCTGTACTTGGTTACTGTAAATAAAAGCTGCAATAAACATGGAGATGCATATTTCTCTTTGAATTATTGTTTTTGTATTTGGGAGGTAAATATACCAAGAAGTGGGATAGCTTCCAGGACTATATGGAATTTCTATTTTTAACATTTTTGAAGACATGCTGTACTGTTTACTACAGTGGTTGCAACAATTGACCTTCTTACCAGCAGAGTGTAAAGTTTTTCTGCTCTCTACATTTTCTCAAAGACCTTCGGATAACAGTCACTCTCACTGGTGTGCAGTGATAGCTCACTGCTGTTTGGATTTGCATTTCCTTAATCATAAGATATGGTGAACACCTTTTCATGCGCCTACCGGCCATCTGTCAATGCCCTTTGGTGAAGGATCTATTCATATCCTCTGCCTGTTTTTAATAAGATGCTGGCTTTTTTAAAAAAATTATTTATTTATGCATACAGAACTGGAGTACAGGCCAGAGGTA